AAGGCTTGCATTTGTCCTTAGAAAAGTTACATTTTTGGAATAAGTTTTGAAATAACCGATCGTTTCGCATGATAAGACCCTTATTCATCGTCTGGTGTCGTTTAAAGACATTTAAAGCTGCATCTGAAACTGTTATTAACCGTCTTTTGATACTTGAACCATCCGGTTCCCATTGAAGTCCATTATATGAAGAAAAATCCTGGAATGTTTTCATCAAAAACCTAAATTTCTTTTCGACTGAAGAAAGAAAGACGTGGACATCTTGGATGACATGGGGGTGAGTAAATTATCAGCAAAAGTTTTTTTTTAAAAGTGAACTCCTTTAAACTGTCTCTTTGCAAGACTTGGATCAGGAGTCAATGTTCAATTACTTGGATTTAGGGCAAAAACCTTGATCGATACAACGCTAAAGATTATCTTCCAATAATGACTCTTTTCAAGACTTGGCAAGCAGAGCACAAGCCGTTTTTTTTTTTTTTTGTGTTGGTGTATTTTGGAGCTCGACAGCTGTGACAGGACGGAGAAGAGCTGCATACAAACCTGTTCACACACACACAGGTTTGAGAGTGATAAAGCAATGGCAGCATTTCATCTTTGAGTCAACTATTCAATATCTATAATAATCTACTGTAAGCAGATATACTCCAGATATACTGTAAGTGTCAGACCCAGCACACCTCTCCTGATTCGAGGAATGATTCATGAATGAATCAAACTGTCAGTTTACAAAGATGCAGCAAACATGTGCTTTTATCAAACCTTTTGCCAGCCTGTGAAACACGTTAAGCTTTGGGAGAATTCCCACACACTTGCCCTGATCGCGTGGCACACACACACATCAGATCTTTCCAGAGACTCTTCCGGATGACTCACGACGTTACAGCGCGCATGGCTGACTTTATTCTGGCTGACAGCTGGCTCTTCACATCGGGCCACAATAGATTCAGGACAGGACATGACAATATCAGCAATGACAGCGGAGGCTTGTGTCCATCTGTTATCAGGACGAAAGGGGATTAAAACTTAACGCCGCCTCAAGACGTGCTGAAATTAATTCAACTCGCACGACTGGCCTGATCACAGGAACGCTTCAGGTGCAATTATACGCAAAAGCTGATTTAGGTGAACAGCAACTTCACAGAACAAGAGCTTCAGGTTCCTGCCAGAGTGAATACACACGTCTCCTAAAGCAGACGAGAAAACCAAACCGCAAGACAAACGTGCGTCTCAAACTCAGACTGGAGTGCAATGATTACTTTATTCACGAACACAGATCCTTGAGCTTAAATCTGTTGAATGCACACTTAACTTCAAAAATTAAAAGTACATACTAAACTAACATGTTGACTAACATACTAAAGCACTTAAAGTAATTTTAACTTTAGTGTGTTATTCAATATTAGATTTAAATGTAATACATATCAAGTGTGGTACTGTAAATTGCATCTTCATCTTTAACCCTCTGGTGCTCTTCATGTGGCGGGCAAAAATGACCAAATGTACTATATTGTACTTTTAAGTTGGATAATGTTTTTTATTTATTATTTTGAATTCATTTTATGGTCCTAAATTATAGTTATAACCCATTTATTCACATTTTGATCATATGAAAAGTAACTTATTAAAACTTATTACAAAGTTCCCAAACGCTTCCCTAGATGAAATTCGTCTCCCAATTATTGACAGCAAACAATACAATTATGACTTTTTTTTTTTCAGGACCATTTAACCTTTATCAGATCATGTCGATGATTTTGTGAAAAAAAAAAAAATACTTTTTGTCTCAGAATTGCGAGTTTATTTTTTTTAACTGGCTTATTTCTTGCAATTCTGAGACAAAAAGTATTTTTTTTCCCCTTAGAATGGGACTTTATTCTGAGAAAGTGTAAGTCAGAATTGCAAGAAACAAGCCAGTCCAAAAAATAAACTTGCAATTCTGACTTACACTTTCTCAGAATAAAGTCCCATTCTAAGGGAAAAAATATTTTTTGTCTCAGAATTGCGAGTTTACATCTCAAAATTCTGACTTTAAAACAAGCAATTGTGACTTTACATCATGCAATTCTGAGTTTCTATACTACATTTGCGATTTATAAAGTCAGAATTGCAGATATAAACAAGCAATTCTGAGAAACAATGTCAGAATTTCTGCAATTATTGTATTATCTCTCGCAATTGAGAGTATATATCTCACGATTCTGACTTTCTATACTACATTTGCGAGTTATAAAGTCAGAATTATAAGATATGAAGTCGCAAATGTGTGTTATAAAGTCAGAATTTTGCAATTATTGCATTATCTCTCACATTTGCGACTTTATATCTCACAATTCTGACTTTAAATCTCAATTTTGACATATTTTCTCAGAATAAAGTCCCGTTCTAGGGGAAAAAAATACTTTTTGTCACAGAATTGCGAGTTTATATCCAAGAATTCTGACTTTATAACACGCAATTGCGACTTTATGTCATGCAATTCTGTTTCTATACTACATTTGCGATTTATAAAGTCAGAATTGTGAGATATGAACATGCAATTCTGAGAAACAATGTCAGAATTTTGCAATTCTTGTGTTATCTCTCGCAATTGAGAGTTTATATCTCACAATTTAGAGTTTATATCTCACAATTCTGACTTTCTATACTACATTTGTGAGTTATAAAGACAGAATTTTGGCATATAAAGTCACAATTGTGTATTCTGAAGTCAGAATTGCACAAGTATTGCATTATCTCTTGCATTTGCGACTTTACATCTCACAATTGAGACTTTAAATCTCAATTCTGACTTTATATCTCACAATTCTTACTTTAAATCTCAATTATGACATATTTTCTCAGAATAAAGTCCCATTCTAGGGAAAAAAAACAAAAAAAAAACTTTTTGTCTCAGAATTGCGAGTTGCGATCTCAAAATTCGGACTTTATAACGCGAAATTGTGACTTTATATCATGCAATTCTGACTTTCTATACAACATTTGTGTGTTATAAAGTAAGAATTTTGAATTATCTCTCGCAATTGTGACTTTATATCTCACAATTGTGAGATAAAAGGTCAGAATTGCAATGATAGTGATAAAAAGTCGCTATTGCCTTTTTAATTTTGCGTTCAGCGGTGGAAACAATCTTCTGGAAACAGTCCTCTTTGCGGTGGAGACGCCTGTAGGTTTGTTCTGCTGATCTGTGGATGTGACTCGTGGGGTTTTCATCTGATTGCAAACAGCACAGTAGTTTCTTCAAATCCCACTTATCATTAGTCTTGGTTTCTGCGACTGTTGTGGTATTTCTGTCCTGGAAACTGAGCCTTATCGGTGGGCTTATATGTTTTATTTCTGGTATAAGCGCTGAAATCCAGCACTGTCAGATTAGTTCAAGCTGCAGTCTTTTCAGATTAATATTATATGAGCGATTTGGCACTTTATTAAACCTAATGCACAAACTCTAACGTGAGGTGTGTATTGAACAAGAGCTACAAAGACACAAGCTTTTTGACAGATGACTTCTCTAGATGTGAATGTTGGCTAATGATAGGAATCTGGCCACATAGCGTACATGTGTTTTTAAAAACACCTTCTTTGGCCCAATCGGGCACCATTTTATGAATGCAATCCCAGAATGCATTCTGACAAGCTCAGTGACAGATTTGAGAAAAAGCGGTTTATCCAACTTATTTTTCACGTACTGTAAGAGCAGGACGGACATTTGTGACACGGGTGTTTCTGGTAGTTCTTTTACCTGCACAAAAACAGCTTATTGCAAACTGGTATTTGTTATCATATTTAAATCTCATTATCATAAATACACTGGTTTGTAGCACAAATACTTGTAATATTTCCCTATAGCACCTAATCAATCAGAAATCTCGCATATTTTCTAAAGGTATAAATAAGGTCACTCGATAGCAAAAAGTGTCAACAGAAATAGTAAATGTAATCTTTTGGACAATTACTTTGTTAAAAAATTTAATGTTCATTAGATTATTAGCTTGATGTTTATTACCTTTTTTGTAGTACAATTTTGGTTTATTTAACAAATAATCGTTGGCTATTAAGTATTGATGCATTGAGCAAAAGAATTCAGTGTTTTTAATGACAACTGTCTTCAAGAACATGTGACAATCATCTCAAAACTCATTATTGTGTCTCTAAAAATGATTATGCATGACATGCCTTTACTGACTCTCCATAACCAGCGAATGACTGGGTATTAACCAGCTTGAGTCCAATTACCACCTGTGACAACATGAAAACTTCCCATAATGAACATAACGATGACGTCTAAACGACAGAACGACCAAATATGTGCATGTTTCCTCTCAAATATCACAGCATAGGAAAATTGAATAACACGTGTAAAGCAATTTCGTCAGACAAAACAAACAAACAAAAAAAGTGTGTTTCTCTTACAAGCAACCAGAGGAGCATGAAGTGGGATCTCCTCAGGGATGTGTGTTTGCACGGAGACAATTTCAGCAATGATCCTTTCTCACGAGATATTCCAGATGACATCCCAGCGCAGCAACCTTGAGAAGAGCTCGAGCGATGCCATGTGTTATACCAACACTGGCCAATGGACACTTAACACTCATCATTACACAGGGAAATGACTGGCACTGGTTAATGGAGTCGTGTTTTATTCTGTAGCCGGATCTTAACGGGTCACACACCACCTCTAACACCGTGATTTATATCCGCGTGGAATGGATGTATAATTTTAGTTCCAGTTTCTGATTGGGGAAGCAGAGACTGTGAATTGCATTGCCAATTCCTGAAACGAATGAAACGAGAGCGTTTGCTTTATGCGGCGTGGGACGATGGATGATACGAGATAATCTCGGCTTGCCATCTCATCTCTCTTTCCCGCCAAAAGCACTCATCTCTCATCATCGGGCCTTGATTAGCATGCATTGGCCAAAAGGATCAGGTGCAGATGTGTTTCAGAGAGTGGTGTAATGGAGAACCCTGCGGACACGGGGAGAGAAGGCCGGTGATGGACTCACGGAAAGCGGTGTAGAGCTCCTGAAGGGTCAGGTGGCCGTCGTTGTTGTAGTCGTCGTAACGCAGGAGGTCCTGCATGCTGCACTCCATCAAGATGTTTTCCAGATGCTCCTTTATGGAGATCTGTGAAAGAACAGGAGTTGAACAGCGTTATCCATCGCAGGTGTGGTGAAGCTCTTGTCTTATAGCTCATTCTAGATGTTCTTGAAGCAGATTGGTTCGAACACATGCTATGAGTGTTAACCCTCAGGTGCTCTTCGTTTCGGAGTCACACTTGTTATCTTCCCGGGCAAAAGTGACCGGACACCTAAAAATTAAATTTCCTCCATCCCAGTAAAACCAATGCAATTTATTTTTGTTCTATAATATTTATTCTTTATAATTTAGTATTTTGAGACAATTTGATTGAATTTATTAATATTTATGCAATATTTATTGTCCATTTTTGCCATGGAAAGATATATATATATAATATATATATATATATATATATATAATATATATTAATATATATATATATATTAATTTTTTCAAAAAATTATTAATGCAGTATTTTAGTTTAATATAGAGTCTAGGCCTTCAGAAAAAATATTTTTTGAAAAAAATTTGAACCATCTGGTTACAGTATAGAGCAAAAGCGTAGATAATTTTTTACATTTTTTTGGTGAATTTGAATATACAGTTGAAAAAATCTCAAAAAGATTTTTTTATTAAAAAAAAAAAAAAATTTGTGAATTTTTACATTTTTGTCAATTTCCCATTCATTTTCTTTAGTGGTCATTTTTGACCAAAGACCACAAGTGTGACTATTTTTTTAAGACCACTTAGCATGCTCAGATCAAGACCTCAATTTTTTTATGTAAAAAAATTGTATGTGAACATATTATGTATGTTCACATACATAATTCCATAAAAGTCACCAAGTTTCATAACATTCCGATGAAGCTGTGATTTTTAGAAATTCAAAACAGAAAATTTTTCGGTCAGAAATGACCGAAGAGCACCTGAGTATTAATGGAAGAAGCTGCAAAACCGAGAACCAAGGAGGAAGCTAGCAGAAGCTGAACAAAAAAAGGGTAAGTTCTAAGTTAACTGGTTTAATTCAAAGCAAATCCACTGAATCCACCTCAATACATTTAATTATATCAACAAAATCATTTAATTGTGTAGAAATACCCAGACCATTCTCATCCCAAGGCGTCAAATACGACGCTTTTGCCAATGCATAGACATCCAACACACATGGCGCCCTTTAGCGTCAATATGAGACGCAGATATACTGTATAAGGGGCAGAAGGCGCTTCCTAGTGGTCTAACCCTAACACTACACCACACCTAAACCTACCCATAACCGAAGTGTGTTAAGTTGACGCTAAAGGGTGCCATGTATGTTGGATGTCTACGCTTTGGCAAAATCATCAGTATATTGCGCGTGTTACAAAGAGAATGCGTTGGAATAGCTATCCAATGTAAGAATGACACGAAACCTCTTTTTACAGTGTGTGACTCAATTACTGTACTGAAGATAAAAACCAGAGGACTTCAGTATCAATGCACTGTAATATTGCTTCAACGTTTGTTTTCTAAAGCCCTATTCGCACGGGATTAGTATTACCTGGGGACCACGTGTGAATTTGAAATCACCCACATCTGAATTTGATGTGGCGCATCCGCACGGGATAAGCGAAGCCTGTGATTTTACTCGAATTTACTGACTTATCCCACGGATATGATGTCATTAGGCTATAGCTTTGAAATGTCTTGTCGTTATTATGTTGTATATAGCCTAATAAACAGAAGAATTGTCCTTACCGTATGCTGCTAAACATGTCGTTCATCTCCATTTAATCGTTCTTTTTGTTTTTGCTCTTCTGATGGTTTTCAGCTTTCTCTTTCTGCAAATTGTAGCCTATACCCGTATTTTCCGCACTTTAAGGCGCAACGGATTATAAGGCGCACCTTCAATGAATGACCTATTTTAGAACATTTTTCATATATAGGGCATACCGGATTATAAAGCGCATGAGATGAATGCGACGACCCGGTTACTGTGAACGGGGAGCGCTTTATGAACGCAAGCAGTGTGTTTGTTCGTGTGTATAAATCGCTCCGGATTATAAAGCGCACTGTCGTTTTTTGAGAAAATTAAAGACTTTATAGTGCGGAAAATATGACCCCGCACCCAAAATACTATCAAAACACTCCAACTCAGCCTCTATTCTTCGCGTAAGATGGATAAAAAGAAGCCGATGAAACAAAAACCTTGAAAAAATGATTTACGATCCGGCCAAATCACAGAGATGTCGATTCGCACGGGACTAATATCATCACAGGACCTCGGTGTTCGGCGAAATATAGTAGGTAATTTGCGGGGGAATTTTTACTTTACAAATTACAGACATGGCCGATTCGCACGGGATTAAGATCTCAGACAAACTCCGCAATTATTACTAATTACTACAGGTCACCGGATAATACTAATCCCGTGCGAATAGGGCTTTAGTGGATGATAATATGCCGGTAAAATTGTAAAACTCAAATGAATGTGCATGTGTGTGTGTCTCAGAATAACCCCCTTCGGGCTGATGAAGACCTGATCCTGATCACCCCGGCCGTCGGGTTTATTCTGAGATAAGATCCGGCCGGATGTCCATCATGGCTTACACCCGTTCAGAGTGAAGGTGCTCTCACCTCTGCCAGCTCTTCACTGCTCAGACGGCCGTCCTGGTCTCGGTCGATATACTTGAACATGGTGTCCACCAGCGCCCTCCTCTGGTCCATGGCGTCCGGTTCCCCGCTCGGGGCGGTCCGGGGCTGCATGTCCAACAGCATGTTCTTCAGCTTGTTGTACTCCGCCATGGTGCACGTGTCACCTGCAAACACACACCACAAGAACGTCATTATCCGGAAGCGAGCGAAGGCGAACGAGGAGCCGGTTTGCATTTATGCACGGACGTTCAACGTGGGGGTCCCGATTAATTGACTGTAATCCTCCGACACTTCAGCTGTATCGAAGCTTCTTCCGCCGTCGAGGAGGGATTAACAAGCGTGTTTTAAACTGTCACATTAATTCCCACGCGGCTCCGCAGCACTTATGTCGATGAAAGACGGCGGGGAGAATGAGAACCGTGATTAATCAAGTGTGCTAGTGACTGTTTACGCCTTACTGGCAATAAAATTATGCAAACACAGCCCACCCGCTGAGCCGCTCTCTAAGACCCTGGAGTGGGAGGGAGACGGTTTGGTGTATCCGGCAGCGGACGGAGGCGGCGTGCACAAGGCTTTGCTCGACTGATGAGAAGAGGAAATATGATATGAATAAGTCATTAGGAGACATCCCTCTTTGACGGATCCGAGCTGCCCGCTGTGAGGAGTCTCACCGCCGCGACGATGGCAGTGACTGCGGGAACGTCTGATCACGGCGGGAGGATTCGATCTTCACCGTCTCAAACACACACGAGTCTATCTGAACCCAAGGCCACGCTCACACTTTAATCAGAGAAATGCATTCTTCTCCTTTCCTTAATTATTTAGCAAACATTTGTGACAATCATGACAAATGTTCTTTATTATTAATGCCACACAGACTTTTTTTTAATTATTATTTCCTATTTTTTTCTGTAAATATTGGTGGATTTGAAACTTCTTGGGGGGCTTCTTCACTATTCGTCAAAGCCGGGGACAATTTTTGAAACCCAGTATAATAACTACATGCTAATAAGCATGAGTAAACAGTTAGTTCGTCATTTATAAAGCATTAATAGACATTAATAAGCAGTTTATAAATACAGCTATAGATTTGATTTAAAAGCATATCTATAATTTGTTTAATAATTGTATTTTCATCCTTTATTAATGATCAATTTATGATTTATAAATGAAGAATTGGATATTTTTTTTAAACCAGAGACAGTATTTGAGAGTTGTCAGTGGTTCATAAGATTACTTAGAACGTGTAGGTAAATGATTAATAAACACATTCATACATCTTATTATTCAGACATATAGTGATGGTTACTGAGTGTGTCAAATTAATGCTTTATTTACATGTATTTATGCTGTAATTCAAGGTTAATTCGGGTAGTTATAAAGCATTTAGTAGCGGTCAGTTAACGATGTTTGTAAGCTCATCTAAAGTGAGGACTATTCATGCCTTGTAAAGCATTTATATGTTCTGTATCTCTGTGTTGTGTTTGGTACATTTTACTGTTTAAAAGATTGATGAATCCCCTTTATAAATGCTTATTAAGTCATAAATAGTCCTTACTTTAGATGAGATCACAAAATAGTTAACTGACCTCTACTAAATGCTTTATAGCTACCTGCGTTTACTACGTTTACTTATACTTTCTAAGTGATCTTATGAATGACTGACAACTCTTATATAACTGGTTGGTTAATAATGCTATACTTCATTTAGAAATTATGAATTGATCATTAACAAAGGATGAACATACAATTATTAAACATTATAGATATGCTTATAAATCAAGAAGAAAAGCATTTATAGCTGTAATTATAAACTGCGTGATGAAGTGATGTATTAACTGTTTACTCATGCTTAACCAATGATTAATGGTGTACAGTTATTATAAAGTGTCACCATTATTGTATATTTCTCATTTGGCCCTTTTGTACAATTTCACCTGGTCCATAATGTCAAGTTTGGCAAAAAATCAGTAACTGCAAACTTGAATCTGACTGAATAAATTGTTATTTTTGTGGTTTATTTAATTATTTGTGTGTGTGTAGTTGTGTTTGGTGCTGTCCTGTGATTGTATTATTTATTTGTCTGTAAAACTGGATGGGATATATAAAAACAACTACAATAAAAATATTTGTCTGGGTCAAATATGGACAAACCCAAGCATTGGTTTACACTTTCAACCGGACAGTTGGGTTTGTCCATATTTGACCCAAACATGGGTTGAAACAAGCATTTTTAGAGTGTATGTAGTATTTTATTTGACTCATTTAAAAAAAATGCATTGAATTTAGCTCTGCTAAAACTTTCAGTAGCACCTCAATGCAATACATGAGATCCACGGGGAGGAGTCGGATCAAGATCCAAGGGGTGGAGTTGGGTAGGATTAGGGTTGGGTTTAGGGATTAGGGGTGGGGTTTAGGGATTAGGGTTGGGTTTCAGGAACAGGGGGTTGAGTTGGGCAGGATTAGGGTTGGGTTTAGGGATTAGGGGGTGGAGTTGGGTAGGATTAGGGTTGGGTTTATTGGATTAGGGGTGGGGTTTAGGGATTAGGGGTGGGGTTTAGGCATTAGGGTTTGGTTTCAGGATCAGGGGGTGGAGTTGGGTAGGATTAGGGTTGGGTTTATGGATTAGGGGGTGGGTTTAGGGATTAGGGTTGGGTTTCGGGATTAGGGGTGGGGTTTAGGATTAGGGTTGGGTTTCAGGAACAGGGGGTTGAGTTGGGTAGGATTAGGGTTGGGTTTATGGATTAGGGGGTGGGATTTAGGGATTAGGGTTGGGTTTAGGGATTAGGGGGTGGAGTTGGGTAGGATTAGGGTTGGGTTTCGGGATTAGGGGTGGGGTTTTAGGGATTAGGGTTGGGTTTCAGGAACAGGGGGTGGAGTTGGGTAGGATTAGGGTTGGGTTTAGGGATTAGGGGTGGAGTTGGATAGGATTAGGGTTGGGTTTCGGGATTAGGGGTGGGGTTTAGGGATTAGGGTTTGGTTTCAGGATCAGGGGGTGGAGTTGGGTAGGATTAGGGTTGTGTTTAGGGATTAGGGGTGGGGTTTAGGGATTAGGGTTTGGTTTCAGGATCAGGGGGTGGAGTTGGGTAGGATTAGGGTTGTGTTTAGGGATTAGGGGTGGGGTTTAGGGATTAGGGTTGGGTTTCAGGATCAGGGGGTGGAGTTGGGTAGGATTAGGGTTGGGTTTCGGGATTAGGGGGTGGAGTTGGGTAGGTTTAGGTGTATGTAAGATGGGAGGAGTTGGATCTGGATCCGACTCCTCCCCATGGATTTCATGTTCCGCAGTGAGAACCATCTCAAAACTTTCAGACTCAGATGATTTTGACAGCTTTGTACAATAAAAGATTATTAAATGATTATCTGTCAGTTCCTTTATAACAGTTTCACTGACAGACGCCTTATTGCTGGCTAATGAACATCAGCCTAAACCAGACTCGTTATACAGGACTTACTGTAAGACCGATTAGCAGTTTTGAAAATCTAAAACATATACTGTGGTTTGAAGGAAATTCGGTTGTGACAACCTGACGTTTTAGGGGATGAAGGGAATCGTCTGTGTGTTCTTGACAGGGATTATATGTGACCGATAAGACTTTCGCTATAACTGAAAATGTATAAGTGTTGTGACATCTTGTTGGCATGTTTGAAGGAGAGAAATTTGATAGGGCTTACAGAAATAAATAGACATAAACGTGACTAATTCTCTTATTTCATACTGCATTTATCGAACAGTCACACCAAGATGCATAGAAACTACATCAGCTGGAATAAACAGAGATATTGTCTCGTGTCTGTGAGATTTACATATCCTCAATGTTAACGTGACATCAGGGTCATATGGGCAAACCTGATGTTTTTACCCACAACCCTGCGCTGATCAGTCTCTGGCGACTCTGAGAGGAAGGTGTTTCGTTTCAAACATGGTAATGAAGTACATCTATCACTCCAGCGAGAAGGGAAAGGTCAGCGCTGAAACGTATAAATTGTTATGACAAGCCATAAATCTGAGTTAATCCTCAAATATCTCCTTTTTCCCCATGAAAGGTCTCACACACTATTTTCTTTTCATATAGCTCTTCTTCTTTTCACTCACTCATACACACACACACACACACACACACAAGCACATCTCAGAGAGAACAATCATATTGGTACATGACTCGCGTTGTATTGCATTACTGCATAAACAGTTGCGTATGTCCAGGGGTGTCCATTAACTCTGACTTTCTGTGTTTCAGATCCAATCCACTTACAGTACACACTTCAGATCCACTGTTTATATGAACTCAGGCTCATTGAAGAAACAAACCTGTGCTGAAATTACTGCAAAATTGTTAAATTGCTAGTGTGTTATGTGTTTTGTCAAGATTTGAAAAAGTATTGATTATAATTTTTGTAATATGAAACATGACACTGCACTAGGTAGGTGACATGATTTAGAGTAGTGTTTGCATGATAACGCAACGTCCAATTTCAAAACGGTTTTCGCAGGATAAATTTGAAGTTTTTAAGCTTTTGAATGAAACCTAATTTATGATGATAGCTGAAACATGTGATAGGGAAAAAGGCAATTAAAAAGCACACCAAATGTCCAACACGACGGCTAACCGGCTGTTATTATGCAATCACATTTGCGATTTGCGATCACATATAATCAGCCAAAGTCTGCATATTTATGCGGGGGCATTTTCTCAAATACGCCACTTTCGCCGAATAAATTGGCGATTTCCGTGCAAAATATGCGGGGCTTGCATGATTTCATAATCCTCGCATTTTCCTTGCCAAAAAGTCACATATATCTCAGCAGAAAGTTGCGAAATGTTGCGTTTGCGTCACACAAGAGCCGCCGTTTCCCCCTGTTGCCATGGGAACGTTATGAAGTGACGTAATTACGCGACGTGAACATCATCGAAAAGCTGTAAAACAGGAGCACACTTAATTTCTTTATATTTCATTTAGTCATTTTTACAGAACTGTAGCATATTGCTTTTGTAAAGCTACAGAACTACTTTGACTCATCAATGTTTTGTAAGTTTGATGTGCTTATTAAGGTCTGAAATAAAACAAGATGAGAACGTAACCTGTTAACTCTTTCCTCACCATTGAAGGAATTTTCAGGCAATCCATGTTTTCATTATTATTCGGTAGGGGTGTCATAATGCAT